ATAGCCTTATGTTTTGCTATGACTATCAACAAAAGTTAAGGTCAAACATTATCTTTTGTTGAATTATTTTTAACCAAATCAATATCCACTCATGATCAGCTTTATATTACTGTTTCATAAGTGACACAAAGACAAGATTAAAAATATGGATTCTAGATGTCAATGAAAACTCTTGAAACCATACCAAAAATATTATATACATTAAAATCTTTTAGAAAACCATACCAAAAATATTGTATACCTTAAAAATATTGAATAAACTTTGTTGAGTACATTTTTAATTCCTCAAATATTATTTATTCGATTTTGTCATTTTTTTATAGTATTAAAGATTATGTGAGAAATCTATTTTCATTATTCTGAAAAAAATATTAAGCTAAAAAATTTCAGAATCGAAATAAATTCGTTCGATCCCGTGCGCGGCACGGGTTAAAATACTAGTATATATATAAAGGGAGAGTTCATTAGTTGTAGAGGAGACACGTGGCATATGACATGGCAAAATTTATATCTACATGGCATAGTGTCATCATTTTATTGGTCCACATGGCATTTATTAGTTTATTTTTTATTTAAAATATTGTTCATAATTATTTCTTTTAATTACTATAAACTTCTATTTATAATACTTTTCATATTCTAATTATTATATTAATATGTCCTTCATCATTTTAAAATATATTTTAATATCTTATAATTAATTAATTACTTTTTTAAAGGTTATTTAAACTTTATTAAATTTTTTAAAAGAAAACTTCTTGTATAAATTTTTACACCATTTTCCCATGATAAGTGTAATAAATATGAAAGTTTAGATGATAAAGAGTAAGATTTCAGTGTATAAAACGTTGACTAAAATTTGTATTAAAAATTCAAACTTTTTCTTTAAAATTTTAAATAAATTTTTCTATCAAAACTATAAATTTGATTAGTGAAGTGTAAAATAATAAGAGTCATAGAGGAAATTAATAAACACATCCTCCCCACGCATACCATGATATCTCCAAAAATGAAATGTTTATGTAAGTTATTTACAAATAATTAATGTATTATCCTTCATATGTATATGCGTGTATACTATTTATGTATTCTATCAATAGGCAATGCGATAGAACAACTTTAATTGTAATTCACTTTATTACTCCCTCCGTCCTATAATGTTCTTTCCGGATCATTTTACGAGGTTTGACCGACTTTATTTTCAATTCAATTTATTTGATTGTAGGTATAAAATTAAAAAATAAAATTTATATATTTAAAAACTACATCAAAAGTTCTACAAAACAAGTGGTGACAAGACTATATTATTTTATCAAATACCTAATGAAAATGGGTAAAGAAAGTGATTAAAGTTTGACTACGTAAAAAGTGAGTGGGAAGAACATTTTAGGACGGAGGGAGTATTTAATCGAGGTTTATATTTTAATATAATAACAATTTTATAGATATATTTTACAGAAAAATATCGCACGGGCTAAAAACTAGTTTATGGTATACAAAGCAAAAGCCAAGGCATGTATGACAAAAGCCAAGCCTCTAAAATAAAAAACCATGCACCATTCTAGCCAAATATGTTGGGCAACATATTATTCCTATTGTTTTATTATTATTATTATTATTATTATTATTGTTATTATTATTATTATTATTATTATTATTATTATTATTATTATTATTTCCTATTCTTGTATGCCATCCTCTAGTTTTGGTAGGAATAAAGTTTTAGCTGGTTTAGAAATTTACTTGTTTAATATTCCTTCTTCTTATATAAAGAGGTTTGAGTCTTGGTAAATGGTAATCACCAAGACAATGAATATAAAAAATATTTTCCCATTAATAGTTTTTACATGGTATCAAATCCAAAAGAAAACCCCCTAAATAGGAATAAAACATATATGAGATCTTCAAAATAGGACCTCAAACTTAAAATCCTCTAAATAGGAGTAAAATTAATAAAATATAAAATCAAGCCACGACCCCATTTTCTTCTCGATCGGATCCTATTCAAAAGCCAATCTTTTTCACTGTCCAACATCTTCGATCCCTTTCCAATCTTCACCTCTGCCACCTAAAAGTAGTGTCATAGCCGCTGCCACTTCTGATTCACAGCGACATCGCCACCACTATGCACCCACACCCCCTATGATTCGTCTCCGCACCTTCTCAGATTTGCTACCTCACCCCACCTCAATTTCACATTTTTCAATCTTTGAGAAGTGTTTGGACTCCCTATTAATATTTAATAGAATTTTTATTTATCTTGAGCTTTGTTTGGATGCTTTCAGATGGGGATTCGGTGTCGAAAAAAGAGAGCCAACTGTTAGGTGGTCATCAAGCTGCAATAACAGTAGTTGTGAGATGGATAATGGGCACCGGTTATATTATTGCAGGTTAGTAGTTGAGTTTGAAATTATCCATTTGTTTGACATTTTGAATTTGCAACAGTGGCATTATATATGGAATTTTGTGGCATGATGCATTACCATATGTGACAATATATGGTGATCTATGACATTATGCATTACCATATGTGACATATATGTGGTCATGTTTGGAATTGTACCTTCGTTGCTGTTAATGGGGTACTGCGACGGAGACTGCAAAGTGTGATGGTGGTGTCGGCAATGGTGCAGAGTGTGATGGTGGTAGAGTAATGATGTCATCGATGTCGGTGAAAAATAAAGGGCAACAATGTTGGAAATTTTTCGCGGTGGCACATCATCTCGTTGTGGGCAGAGTAAGCCAACGGCGGAGATTCAGTTAAAAGTGGCATTCGGTAGAGATGCAGTGGGCAACACGTAATGACGATGGCAGCGGGAGTGTGGCAATGGAGCGACGATGATAGGGTGGCAATGGTGGCAGCAGGGGTGCAACGATGGTAGAGGCGGAGACGGTAGTTAATTTAGGGTTTTTTTAAAAAAAATTGTAAATGTATTTAGTTTTAATTAGAATGAAAATGGGAGATAAATATTGTATTTTGTTTGCTATTAGCTACTGGAGTGTTGAAGTTTTGTTGTGGAGTATTGAAGAAGTCATGCTTTTTGTTATGGAGTATTAACGTTTTGTTTTCAACTTCAGAGTTTTTTATTTTGTAAAGATGGGATGCTTAATGGCTAAGGGTGATTAACTCCTACTTTGGGGGTTTTATCTTTCAACTCCTATTTTAGGATTTTATCAATGTTTTACTCATATTTTGCTCCTTAACCCTTAAATCCAAACGGAGCACCGTAGGTACCCCAAACGAACTGGTGTAAGAAACTAGTGTCATTTTAGACGCTCCCTATATATAAATATATATATATATATATATATATATATATATATATATATATATATATATATATATATATATATAGTAGAGGATTTTTGTTCAGGTGAGAATGCGATCTTATGAAAGAAATAATAATGAATCTGGTGCTTTAGATTGTGAGATCTAAGGGTCAGGATTGCATCAAAATTAGGTGCACTAAAATGATTTGAAAATACATCATGTCGAAATGCACCAAAATCCTTTAAAAATGCACTATCTCAAAATCTGAGTGCAGGATGCAATCTGAGCCGCACGATGCATCAGATCCAAAGGCTAGATTTTATTCTTATTTCTTTCACCAAGGTGCATTCTCATCTGAACCACACCCTATAGTAGAGCAGATTAGTTGTAATTGTGCCATGTGTCACGCCAACAAGTCACCCTTTCATTGCCACCTACTATGCTACATCATGCAAGCTATTATGCCACATCATTAAGAAATATTTTATATTATATAAATGAGAAAATAATCAATGTGAAAGAAAATGAAAACACACAACTATATAATAACATACTCCCATCGTCCAAGTTGAAATTTCTCAGTTTGACTTGACGCACTTTTTAATGTAAGATGACAAAGTAATGCATTTTCCATATTTTCCATTTTCAATTACTCTTCCACTGTCTCTAACCCACTTGCCCGTTTCTTCAAAAATCAAAACTAGACTTCTAGATCTTCATCAACCTCAACCTGTGCATCCTTGCACCCGATTCCCATTCCTTCCTAATCTTCAAATCCAAAGTTCTAGATCTTCCTCCACTTCAGATCATTCCACCGGCAACTCAAACCTGACCCCTGTGCAGTATAGAGAAATTTGAATCCCATTACCCTTGGATTAGGCCAAGACATGAATAGAAAAAATTGTAAGGAGATGAATAGAAAATCACGAACAAGAAATTGAAAATCAAATCTTGGATTCTTCTGCAACCCCGATGAGACTTTCCGTGGTAACCGACACCGGAAGTCGAATATTTCGGTCCCGAGAATTTTCCGAGAAGAAGCGCGATAACTTACGCACCTTTACGAGGCTTCCCATAACAACACATAAGGGGTAATGTTACAACTCGCGAGTTGATGACTTTTCACACCTCTATGAGACTTGCCGTAGCAACATGAAAGGCATGGTTTACTAATTACTCCCTTCGTCCCCTGTATTTGTCCACATTTGACTTTTGGAACTGTTCATCTAATCACTTTGACTCATCAAATTCTCTCAATTTGTAAGCCTAAATATAGTCATGTGTGATCTTGTTTGATTTGTCGTCTTAACATATAGATTATTAATATATAATATCTATAATTTTTTAATATACAAATTATAAGATAAAATGGATTAAAGAAGTGCATTGGATGGTGTGTAAAAATAAAAGTGGACAAATACAGGGGGACGGATGGAGTAATTAAGATAAAGAATTTTTCTTAACTAAAACAATAACTCACAAATTTGTTTGAAAATTCTCAAACACTCAATATAATCACTTCAATATGTTCAATCTCTAGATGCTTTACTAATGGAGAACCTATGCCTATTTATATAATTAACACTTAGCTACAAATATCAATTAAAATCCTTGCAGATATCTATCCATGAATCATTTCCCAAGATGTTGCCCTTCAATAGAAATAATGAATTATTATTATTCTTAAAACTATTTTTTTAATGTTATTGATTCAATTAAAATTTAATATTTGTTCATACTTTTTTTTTAATCTAATGATGCACAGTAATAAAATAAATTATGTTAATTTTTCACGTTGAAAAAATTAATTCAAATTCTTTTATATTTTTCCAACACATACTACGAGATCTCAAAAAATGAGAGGTTCAAGTAATTAACTTACGAGTAGTTAAAGAAATTTTCATTTGCATGCTCTAACATGACAACTTCTCCTTCCATTCTAAATTAAATTGCATGCTTACTATTCACATGATCAAATTTTATTCACTTTTTTCCTATTTTCATTAGTCATTTGATAAAATAATATAGTCATGTCACCACTAGTTTTATTGATCTTTTCATGTAATTTTTAAAATATGTAATTTTTATTTTTTAATTCTACATCATTTTTCATATAAAATAATTTGAAAATAATTTCAGCCAAACATCGTAAACCGAAACAGATAATTTAAATTGGAACAGAAAAAATATAATACAAATAAAATTTCACTTCTCCACTCATTTTAATTTCATCTTTTACATACAATATCACGTTTGTAAAAATAATTTTTGAAATACATACGAGCCCGTGCGAAGCAAATAATAGTAAGAAGTAAAAAGATGTGCATAGCCCAAAAGAAAGTATGTGGCCCAATTAGTATTTTGTCTTGCCACATCTCTAAACTGAAAGTACTTGGCTTCTCCGTTCTTTCTTTCTTTCGTGCGTTAACAATCGGAGAGGAGAGACGGATGGAGATACGTTCCGGTCAATCATGTTACCGGCGAGGAGATTTCGTAGGGAAGAAGGAAATCTCGTAGCTAATAACAGAAAGGAGAGGGAAAGAGAATTCTTTGGTGGAAAGTGGATTAGGATGAAAAATATCTCTTCTTATTATTCCAGATGTTGAACCACTATTTATATAGTTGCCCCACAAGGTTACACATAGGATAATAGCATACTTAAACAAAAATAGAAATAGAAAATATAGCTAAGGACTGCATCATTTCCTCCCCCTTGACTAGAGCTTTGTCCTCAAAGCTGGAAGTCCGGAAATCGCTGCTGGAAGGACTCGAACCACTCCCAAGTAGCTTCAGTTTCTGGTACTCCAAGCCATTTGACCAAGAATTGCACCCCAGCCCTATTTGCCTTTTTTTGAATTCTCTTGTGGAACCAGTAGGGAATATGTGGTACAGCTGGTATATCTCCCCTGAATTGTTTGAGCTGGGAGACATGAAATACTGGATGCACCTTGGCATCAGTGGGCAGCTGTAATTTGTAGGCCACCTTGCCTACTTTGGACAAGATTTGGAAGGGTCCAAAGTATTTAGGACTCAGCTTCTCGTTAGATCTCTGTTGAACACTGCTTTGCCTGTAGGGCTGGAGCTTCAACCATACCCAATCTCCTAGGTTGAAAACCCTCTCAGACCTGTGCTTATTGGCTAATTGTTGCATCCTGTTCTGTGCCCTCTGTAGTTGGTGTTGTAGTTGCTTGATCATGGCTTCCCTCTTTTGTAAGGATCTGTCCACTGCTTCCACGGCTGTTTCTCCAGGTAAATAGGGCAAATGGATAGGTGGGGGCTGACAGTACACAGCTTCATAAGGAGTCATCTGTATCGAAGAGTGAAAGGTAGTGTTGTACCACCATTCAGCTAGAGGAATCCACTTGCACCATTCTCCTGGATTGTGGGAGCACATACACCTTAGATAAGTTTCCAAGCATCTGTTAACCACTTCAGTTTGCCCATCTGTTTGGGGATGATAGGCAGTAGACATCAAAAAGTCAACTCCATGGATGGTGAATAAAGCCTGCCAGAATTGGCTCAAAAAGACAGTATCTCT